CTGGGCACTGTCCCTCAGCTCTTCAGCTCAAGGCTAGCGCTCTACCACTTGAGCCACAGCACCACTTCCAGCTTTTTTTTTCTGCTTATGTGGTGTTGAGGAATCGAACCCAGGGCCTCAAGCATGCAAGGCAAGCCTCTACCACTGAGCCACCTTCCCAGCCCAATGATCACCTATTTTTGATGTTACCCTTATTTAGGAAATAAACAAATGTCTGTATTGTCAAAACAGGCTCTCTTAGTCCTTGGCTATTATTGTAAGGCAGTGCGGGGGAGGGTCCGATATGTCTGACTAGGCCTCTGTTCTGTTTCTACACATGCAGCCAAGTTCATAAAAAGGAACAGGACTGCCTGTCCCAGGAAAGCAGACAGAACCCTTTGAGGCTTTGAGGGAATTAATGATACGATCAGAGCTGGTGCTTCAACCAACACATTCACTCGGACATTCTGACAGTCAGTCTTGGAGTTTAGGAATCTCTCTCTCTCTCTCTCTCTCTCTGTCTTTCACACACACACACACACACACACACACACACACACACACACACACACACACACCTATCACATTATCACATTGCTGGATGTCCCAGCTTAAGTTTCAAGTCAAATTAGTCAACTTTGGAAGACTCCTGTCTTTCTTCTTGAGACCTTTCAGATGTTTCCCTGATCTCCTGCTGGGTAGAATGTGGGGTTACACTTGGGTGACTCTGTTGTGGGAGGGGCTTATCTTTGTCTCCACCTTCAACCCCAAAAGCTCCCTGACATTTTTCTCCCCAGTCTTCTGATCCACCAAAAGCAATTCTGCTGAAGGGAAAGATGGGTAGAACTGACAACACCACCCCCTGCTGCTGGTCCCTGGCGTTAGAAACCCTGCGATTCCCATTTGCATGGGAAGCTGAAGGGAAAGCATTTTACCATCATATTACTGTTTCAAAGAGCTGAGCCATTTCCCTTGACTGTCACCTCTCTGTTTGAAAGCCCTAACGTACAGTGTATAGCAGGCACTTCTAGTCTCGGGTGGTGATCTACTCTGACAAGCAACACAACTGCTTCCCTAAAGAAACAAATTCTTAAGTGTCTGTAATCTTCTCCAAACAATCTATAGTTACACAGCCATGTGCCTAAAGCAATATTTGTTCAGTTGCAATGATGTCACCAAAAAAAAAAAAAAAAAGGCTTGTCAGCGTTTAAATCTTCCCTTAAATAATCGGAGAAGGATGGCATGGCTGGACTCAGAACTGTTCTCTATAGCTTAAATCTGAAAGCGCAAAAAGTTTCTGTAATGGGGGGGAGGGAGAGATGGGGAAGAGAGGAGGAGAGGCGGGAGAGAGTGAAGAAGGGAGAGAGGGGTTGGGAAAGAGAGAGGGAGGGAGAGGGGGAAAGAAGAAGAGAGGGAGGAGGAGGGAGAGGGAGAGAGGGAGAGAGAGAAGGAGAGAGGGAGAGAGAAAGAGAGAAAGAGAGAGGGAGAGAGGGAGAGAGAAGGAGAGAGAGAGAGAGAGTCACGAGGCTTGAAAAAACTCCATTTCCCAGCACATTTAGCAGTGTTTTGTTCCTCTGGGTCTTGATTTTAAGGGCCAAGGTTTGCTTGCCAAATAGGCATATCTTGGCTCTCTTTGTCAGGCAGGAACATTGCCTTGATATTAAATATTCAAAGCAAAGAACCTCTGACCTAAGGGCTCCCGGCTAACAATGACATTCTCTGTAAGTAAACCAGAAACCCCACTCGGCGTCTGCTTTGCCAGTGTTCTCTGCCACAAACTAGTTAGTCTACTGCACAGCCGGGGCTGAGGAGTGACTCTATTTACCTTACCCGTACCACCATTACAGTGCGATATATATATATACATCCCTTGCACCAAGGAGTCTTCCTGGGCGGAGCGGAGCGTGGGTGGGCATGGTAGGAGATGGAAGAGTGGCACTCAAGAAAGGTCGGGCTGGGGAAGGGTGCTGACCCCCAACCTTGCCCAAAGGGGACCCTAGGTGGTTACAGCGGCAAGGACAGCAGTTAACCTCAAGCAGGTGCAACGCTAACAGAAGTATCTTTCGCCTAGAAAGTTCTTCCATCTTGAGGCGACACATCTGCCACCTTAGAAATAGCTAAGATCTTTTTTTTTTTCAGGAGCCTAGATCGAAGTTTCCCCGAAAGAAAAGCATGAGTTTCCCCATGTACCTTGCTTGTGGGAAAGCGGGATTGCAGGGGAAGGGGGAGACACAGGGACTTGGGGGGGTAGTAAAGTCATACCCTTAGTATCCTTTTGGCTTCTGTAATCTGCTCCCCACTTGTTGGGCATCTCCGGTTCCCGTGGGTCCCTTCCCTGCCTGCGGGGTGGACTTCAGGTCCGGTGTGCCCGGGGCTTGGGCTCCTCACATGGCCACTGGCTGGGCCGCACCCTTAACCCCGTGGGTCCTAAGCCAAGGGCAACACGTGTATCTTTCAGCGCGGGGCGCGGCCCAGGGCGCAGCGTGGGGCGCTTGCAGCCAAGGCACCTGGGTCAGGAGTGGGTCACCGGTGCTGGGAAACTGAGCAGCTCCACCGCACCACCACACTCGCAACGCACCCGACACCCTGAGGGCGCGGAGGGTCTCCGGATCCCCTGCCCGCCCCCACCTACACGGAGCTGTTACGTGTGGCTCGGAGCGCGCCTCAACTTTAATCCGAGCCGCTCGAGCCCCGCCGGTCCCCCGGGCTCACTGGATGCGGGGGGGGGGTCTGGGGGTCGCCAGGACGGGGTGGGGTTCGCTCTTACCTGAGAAATCAGTGAGCGCCGCGATCTCTTTGGAGCAGACCAGGACGGTGCAGTAGAAGAGACGCAGGAGCTGCCCCGGAGGCTCTACCTGCCGGCGGAGGCCGGGATGCGGCGCGGGCTCGGGCGCGGGAGGCGGGCGCGCGTGGCCGGGTAGGAGCATGGTGCGCGGCGGGGGGCGCGGGCTGGGGGTCGCAGAGAGAGCGGAGGACGGCGTCACATGGCGGGGCGGGGTCGTGGCCGGCGGCTTCGCTGCACCCCCCCACCCCCTGTTCCCCAGGCCGTCTCCCCCCGGCTGCCGATCTTCCTGCCCGGCGCTGCCTGGGATCCCCGGCAAAGGGTAGGGGGCGGAGATGTGGGGCGGGGCGAGCAGCCCCAGGAAGGATCCGCGTCGTTTCTTCCCCGGGAGGAGGAAGAAAAAAAAAAAAAACTCAGAAAGTGTGTGTGGCGGGGGGTCCGCCTGCGTCCAAGCCCCAGACGGAAAGCGCCCGGCCGCGCTCCTCCGTGTGCGCCACACGAGCGCCTTCCTTGGCCGCCCGGATCCCTGGCGGGGTGCGCCCGGCCCTCCGGGCGGGGTGCCAGCCTCAC